CCCCGGCGCTGGCCCGGATCCACCGCCGCTTCCCCCCAGCCGGCTGGGGCCCGAGCGCACGGAGCCGACGCCGACCCAAGGCTGTGGGCTCCCAGATCCGCTTCTTGCAAAGGGCCCCCGGTGTGGGGTAGGATGCAACTGCCCTCTCCCCGCCCCACACATCCAGTGCCTCCTTCAGAATTTCCCCTCCTGCAAGGTTCCCCGCCGCTCAGCCACGTGCTGCCCCGTCTGAGGAGCCCATTTCGCAGGTTCAGCTCGCAGGCCCCAGAGGCCCCCCAGCTGGGGGATAAGAGCTACCCACACACCGTGCCTGTAGCTCCGGGCAAAGTCAGTGGGCATAGCCAGGCCACTTAGTGGGGGCTAGGGGGTGGGGACCCACAGTTCTCCAGCTCCTAAACCTCAGTCCCCTTGCTCTCCCCTCAGGGCCTCCAGGAGGGCAGGCTCTAAGCCAGTGAAGAGCTAGTCTGATCTGGGAGGGCCCTGGCTCAAGTCCCCCACCCCTAGCTGTTTGGCCTGGCTAAGAAAGGGATTCTTACTTCTTGGGGACGCCATGAGGCCTCAGTGAAGCCCCTTGGAGTGAGGCACTGGATGGTCCCTGCAGTGAGTGAGTGGGTGGGTGGGTGAGTGAGTAGAGTGCAGGAGGGAGGGGCCACTTAGTGAAGGTTTTGTGAAGAGACTGGGTAGTGAGGTCCTTAGCTAGGGATGAACACAGCTAGTGCTGTTTTGGGTTGTGTAAGGAAAAGTATGCAGTGGACAATGAAGGAGGAGAGGCCGTTTCTCCCCTCTGCAGGACTGAGTGGCTGGGTGGCAGGTTTTCGGGACTATGTGTGGAGTCAGGCTCATTCCAACGGTGAGGAGAATGTGAAGAAAGAGCCACAGGCACCTGAGGAACTTTAACAAGAAGGGAAGGGGTGGTCTCTGGGCGTGGGTCACTCTCTGAGTGTCTGGAAGGCAAGAAGGGACAGGCTTGTTCTGTGGGATGCCCGCTGAAGCTGGACTTTTGAACCCAACATATGACACCCCCAAGGCTGCTTTGACTTCCTGATTTTGACCCTGAGTATGTTTTCATTAACTCTGGTCAAGGTTATACTAAACTTTGGGTGGTTGGTTGGTGATTCTGAAAAATACCTACCTGACACCTCCCCACCCCACCGCCATGGGGGGGAGGGAAAGAAACTGGTTCCAATCATCAGAACAAAATGCAGCTGCCAACACTGCAAGTGCTCCTGGTAAACTGTGCCCCTGGCTCCAAATTCTCTGGAGAGTCGAACCCTGATCATGGGTGGCATCCAAGAGGAGCTCACACCCAATGACAGGGCAAACCTTTATTGAAAAGTGTTCGTGGAAAATGATTCATCTCCACGAAGATAATTTAGTAAAATAAAAATGAAAACGGAAAATGTCTTAAATTATTTAAGTGTGCTAGAAAGAAAATTGATCAAAAGAATTAAATTGCCTTAATGGAGTTTATTGCAGAAAACACAAGCTCAAAGGAAATGTATCAATGTGGTTATAACTATAATTAAAGTGCTTGTCATCTATATAGGTACAGGATGTCCAGAGTCCTGGGGGTCAACATGGTAAGGCAAAAACATAACCTTAGTGAGCTGGCATGCACTCCCTGAGTCTTCCTGTGAGACCCCCTCGCTGCGGGAATGCCGTGTTCCCCGTTACCCAGAGAGCTCTCTGAGTGCGGTGAACCAGTGTCTTGTTCCCTGCTCATTCTCCATCACCTAGCACATCTCTTAGCCAAGACGGTGGGGGGTGGTGTTGGTGAATGCTTGTGGAATCAACAAGCCCTATAACGAAAGACTCAAACGGCAGTTTCTACTTTTTCTAGAGGAGGAATCATGGCACAGGTCTGGTACAGATTAGCTGTACAGGTCTGAGTCGCTCCTATGTACTGGGGGAATACATGCATGGGTGGATGCTTGCTTGCATGGTTGAGAGGGCGATGGGTGGGTAGATGGTAAATGAAGGGATAGGAAGATGGAAGACTGGTTGACTGGCTAGCTATTCGGATGGGTGACTCATGGGTGGGTGGGTCGGTGAATGGATGGATTAATAGGTATACAACTATTCATAGCTCAACATTCGAGGAAGGGTTTTCCTTGCTCACGTATACTCCAACCTGACTGGCTGCGTTAGTCTGCGTAGACTAAAGAAACAAATTCATAGACACGCACAGGTGTCTAAGAGCTTTATATACAAGAGCAATTGAATATTGAGAAAACATCCCAGCCCAGGCCAGATCAAGTCCGTAAGTCCAATATTAGCCCATATGTCTGATACCAATCTATAAAGTCTTCTTCAGACTCACGAAACACATGTAATGACGCCAAATGCAGGAAGATCACAGACCAGTGGGTGAAAAATCTTGTGGATCCAGAGGCGGTAGAAGCAGCTCGGTGCTGGCAGGGGTCTCCACATGGCTCCTCCAGTTCCAGGGCACGGGGTCTTTCAGCATAGTACCATGTGTCTTGTCAGGGAGTGAGCTTGTCTCCCGCCTCCAAAGAGGAATACAGGAATTCCCAGAATCCTCAGAGGAAGGCCATGCCCACATGGAGGCCTCATTGGCTATATTCTGATTGACAGCCTAGACTCCACCCCTTCACTCTGAATCCTGAAATTGACACCAGATGATGTAACTACCACACTGGCCCACTGTCTCCCTAACCCTGAACATGACCTCCATTGTCCCCTCCAGCTTTTGCTTCTTCAACTGTTTCCTCCCAGAACGGTCTCTATGCTTGCTTTTATGTCTTTACACAGCCCAGGCACACACCTGTCCCCAGTCAGCCCACTACATCCCCCATTCAAATCTCTGTCATTTGTTAAAAGTTTCCTTCTCCAGGTGAGAGAGGAGCTTTGCCTTCTTCAGGTTAGAGACGACCATATTTACCCCCATCGAGTTCCATACTGGATCCCCCAGCCATCTGGTCACATATCGCTAACCCGAGCTGTTCTGGCTACCCAAGGACCCTGGAGTAAAATCCAATCGCCTTCACATGCCTTGGTGTTGGAGTTTCTCATCTTCCACCCGTGATCTGCCACAGCCCCCACTCTCCAGCCGCAGCCCAGATCATGGGCCCTGGCACTCAGAGATATTTGGAGGAAATGCTCAGGATGGAGGCGGTGGAGGCAGGAGAGCCCTTCAAGAACCAGGAAACCATCGGGAGCACCAGGCACCAAGGAAGGAAGAGCAAACAGGAGCTCTGGAGCCCAGATTGGAATCCTAGCTTTGAACTAAGCAGCTGTGTTACCCTCTCCAAGTATCACTTCCTTCCCTTATAAAAGAAGAGTCTCAGTGCCTGTCTCCCTGGGGCCTTATGGGGAGCCATTCCTGTGCAGATAAGCCCCAGGGCTTGGTGGGAAGCATTAAATTCTAGCTCATAATAATTGCTGCTAGATTTGGCAACCAGGAGCTAGGACCTCAGTGATGAGGGCAGAAACCTGAAAGCAGCTCAAAGGGGGGCTTGATAAACAGATGGGAGGAAGAAGTCCTTACTGTGGGCCCAGCCCAGGGCCTGGCTTATAGTAAGTGCTCAATAAATGTGCAATGAATGTTTTGCCAGTACAGGGGACAGAAAGAAGAAGGAGGAGAATCAGCCTAAGGGTTAATGGAATAATATGGGCAAAGCTTTAGCCCGGCGCCTGGCCCAGAAAAAACATTTCACAAATGGCATCAGACTCTCTGTGGCCCATTGGCCCAGGCTTTCTGGCAGCTCTTCTGCCCTGGACTAGGGCCTCATGCTGGGCTAGAAGGGGCTCATGGGAAAATGGTCAGAGGGACCTGAAGTGTCACCTCCCACCTGCCTTGGACCAGTGTCTTTCCCTGATGGTATAAGGACATCTTTCTGGCACCAGGGAGGCCTGGCCTTCAGAGGGACCCGCCCCCCCCTCACTCACTCACTGTCATGGAGTGACTCTTAGTGACTCTAATACCCCCAAATGACAAGGCAGCAGAGTCTAAGTCTCCTTCCCACCCACAGGAGTCAAAGTCCCATGGGTGGTGACAGGTCATCAAGGGCCAAGCCCATGCACACAGCAGCTCCTTCTGAAGGCCCTCAGGAGAGTGAGGCTGCTCTCTCTGAGTGTGCATGTGTCCTGGACGCTCCTGATTGGCCATCTCCCGCCTGGGCCTCTCCAGAACACATCCATCCACACGACTAATTAGATTAGAGGGCAGCTCGCACTTAACACGTCCAGAACTGGACCCCTAATTCTCCCCTCCCTGGCCCGCACACCAACTGTTCTTGCTCCTCTCTTCTCCATTCCATTTCATGACATCCCCACCCTGCAGTTCCTTCAGCCCCCAAACTCCAGCCTCATCCCTGCCTCTGTTTCTCTCACATCTCATGTCCAAGCCCGTGTCTAAGCCTGGCCTGGATTATTGCAATCACTTTCAATGCCTCCCCCAGACTCTTCTCCCTTCTGGTGCCAGAGGGATCCGGTTAAAATGTCAGTCAGATCACGTGCCCTTCTGCTCACAACCCGCCCAGGGCTCCCATCTCACTTGAGGAAAAGCCCCATCTGTCCCCCATCTGTCCCCCAACCCCATTCTTCCCTGCCCCGACTTCCTACTCCTTCCCCCCTGGCTGGTCAGATCCCTCTCAGCAGCCTCTGACCCCAGGCCCACCCTCCTCAGGGCCTTTGCACTTGCCCCTCTGCTTGGACCCTCCTGCCCACAGGCATCCGTGGGTGGACAGCCTCCTTCAAGTGTCAGATCTCAGTAACAACTGTCTTCCCTAAACTTGCAGCCCCTGCCACTCCCTCGACTGTCCCCGCCTCATTTTTCTTCATCACTTTGTCACCGTCTATTACACTCTGTGTTCTGCCGATTGATCTCCCCATTGCCTGTCTCAGACCCATTCAACAGGGAGCCCCCTGGGGCGCAGACTAGCTATGGCCTTTGGGCTCCCTGCTTCATCCCCGCCCAGCGGCCAGTTCGGTGCACATAGTAGGAGCTAAATAAATCTTTGTGGGATCAACTGAACGCGTGCATGTCTGGGCCGGCTGGCCGCGGAATGGTCCCGGGGCTCCCGGCTGTGCCCGCCCTTCCCTGCCGCTGGCCCGTGACCTCCAGCCTCAGCCCGGGCCTCCCGACAGCGTCCCAGGCCGGATCAAAGGGCCCAGGAGGCGGCAGCCCCGCACAGCTGTGTCTGCGCGGCCGCCCGCAGGAAGCACCGGGGCAGCCCTCGCGGCAGGCCCGGCCCCGGCCCGGCGAGGCTGCCGAGAGGCCCTGCGAGGCGCGCGCGCCGGCGGCGAACGGTCAGAGCGCCCGGCTCCGCCGTGCATTCCAGCCGCGTGATTGACGCGCGCACCGGGCCCCCGCCTGCGGCTCCTGCCGCCCGCCCGGCCGGCCCGCCGCCGCCGCATCAAAGCAGATGTTTGCAGCTGGTTTGAGTTGGATTCCCATCAACAGGCCCCTTTTTGTCTCAAAATAAAAAACAGCTCCTCCCGGAATGATAAGGGCGCGGCAGGCACGTGGGGGAGATGTCATCGACTGGGACAGGGAGGAGACCAGGCAGCAGCTCCCTCTGACTGCTTCCACCCTATCAGCTCCTCCAAGTGACATGACAGGCAGGCCATGGCGGCACAGCTGGGCCTCTAAGAGTGCCCAGGGTCCCGCTGTCCCCCAGCTCCTGTGAACTCTCACTTCAGCCCTGGTCACAGAAGTCAACCTCCCTGCTCACCCCCAGTGTGCCGGGCCAGGTCCTGGTGCTCCACAGCGGGCCCCTGATGGGAGCCAGTCTAGAGGGACCAATGTCAATAAGGTGGGGACCGTCACCCCCATTTGCAGCTAGGGAGACAGGTTCGGAGAGTGGAGGTGGCTTCACACCTATTCCTCCGGCTTCTTCACCTCCTTCAGGAGCCCCCATCCCAGCCCCACCCCTCGCCCCTCTCCTCCAGGCTGAGTGTCACCCCTTCAAAGTCACTGAGTGTGCCCCTTCCCAGCACACATCCTGCTATGCCAGCTTCGGGGCAAAGCTAGACCTGATGCTTCCCCTGCATCTGGCATGTGCCTCAGAGTCAGCCTCTGTGAGCTTTACTGAGGTATAACCAGGACCCCACAGGTCAGCGGTTCGAAAACACCAGCCATTCCACAGGAGAAAGACGGGGCTTTCTACTCCATAAACAGCTACAGTCTTGGAAACTCACTGGAGCAGTTCTGCTCTGTCCTACAGGACTGCTCTGAGTGGACACCAACTGGGTGGCAATGAGTTAAGAGTATAGCCATTGAGGATAGGTGGGCTGTGGTTCCTGTGGAGCGAGGAGGAGGCTTCCGGGGCTGTGGAGTGCACAGCCCCAGGGTTGTGGGGCTTGGGCCTGGATAGGTCCTAAAAGACATCAGACCCAGAATCGCCCCTCCCCCCTCCCTTTGTGGCCATGGATGAAGCCTGGCAGATGTCCATACCTACCAAGGGACAGACAGACAGCAGGAGCATATTCCCAGTGATCTGAGCAGGTGAGGAAGAGAACATTCTAGAACCTGTATGGGGGGACCATGGTGAAGCCCAGACTGGAGTTGGGAGGGCGAGCATGGATATACGGATGTCACTGCAGTGCCCTGCACGGGGCTAGACTTATCACAGGGCCGAAATGTCGCTGGAGCCCCAATCCCCTAACAGAAAGCATGCCTGGAACTTCACCGATAAGAATTAGGCAACTAGATTCCAAGTCAGGGAGTTATTAAGTTTGGGCGGTGGGGTGGGGAGAGAGATGCATTTACCTTATCTTGTTAGGTTGTGGCATTCTTGGAACCTCAAAAGTGAAGGACCCAATATTCTCTTGTCCTACCTGCCTGCCCATTCTCATCTCTTAACAAGGCTGTCTATGCATTCCACACTCACGCGCTCCTCCCGCATACTAGCACCTCGGGTGGGTGTGGGGGACAGGGGAGTTAACACAGCCTTTGGTCTTTTGCTCTGTGGGGACTTAAAACACACACACAAACAAACAATTAGAGAGTGACTGAGTCTGTTGGGCATCAAGGAAGGCTGCACAGAGAAGGCAACTCAAATTGGGCCTTGAAGGATGAAGAAGAGTTCAACAGGAAGCAAAGGGGAGAGGAAGAGCAGATCAGCCTTAGAGGCAGGCAGACGGGATGTTTCAAGTGCTAAGGAGGCAGGAAGGGACTTGCTTGTTCCAGGAGTGACGAGAAACTTGGGTACATGAGCAAGAGGGCCTGAGGCCAGGTGGGGCAGGGCCGGTGGGGCCTTGAGTGCCATGATTAGGTCCTTGGGCACTAGTCCCAAGTGGCTGGGTGCTCTTGGACACTGAAAAAAATGAAGAGGGCATGTGATCTCATTGGCTTGATGAAATGGCAAGCTGAGACTTTAGGTGTTTCTTCCCCAAGGAACCGGGAGGGGGCGCTGTCCACTGATCAGCAGAGAGTGGTTATGGAGTAGGAGGAGGTGGTGACCGAAGGCTGGCTAGTGGGGACCCGGGGTGGTTGTGAGGACGGTACGTTGCCGTGGTGGGGTGGAGCGTGCACGTCGAGCGGTGAATGGTGCTGATGGAAGTCTTGACGAGATGACGGCAGTGGTCACAGCCCCCGTTTGTAAGGCTGGCCCTGGGAGGTGGCCTCTCTTGCCATCCCAGTTGGACTGAACGGAAAACTGAGGCCCAAAGAGGAAAAGGGCCTCCCACAAGGTCTGTCTCAGGGACCTTGCAAGTATCGCAAGCCTGGTGCATGCTCCTGGTCCCTGAGATCTGGGGGTGAAGACCCCCCGCAGAGAGGCGGGATGTCCCCATGACACCAGGAAGCCAGCTTTACTGAAGAAAAGAGGTCATCAGGACATTCGTCCCTGCAGCTGTGGATGGTGTAAGAGAAATGAATTAATCAGATTTATAATCCATGTTCAAATGCTCTAGAAAAATTGGTTTTCAGAGTTTTGTTTATTAGTTTTATGAGTCTAATAAATTGGGCATTAAACGGCTAGACCAATACAAACTCAGGGGATGTAGATGAATAGTCTCACAGCCTGGGACTCTTCAAGAAAAAGATGTCCCTACAGATGGGATTTCTTTTATCCTTTTTTTTTAATCTTCTTTATCACAGATGATCCCAACAGGGGTGGGATGGGGGTAGGGAACAATGCGCGTGTTGGGGTGGGGTCGGGTAGGACAGTGTGATGGGTTTGGTTTTTAACACATAGACACACACTCTGCTCCACCTCCGGGTTCAGACTCCTGCTGGGCAGGGCAGACTCAGGGTGAACGGGTCCCTGCCCCAGGAGCCTCCTGGTGAGATGTGGTCCCAGAATAGCACAGGGCACAGGCCCTGGATGTGCACAATAAGAGGGAGGGAGAGTGCAGTGGGATGCACTGGGAGACCTTGAGCGGTGACCCGACCTCTGCTCCCTGGCTGTGTCCTGATCTGTAAAACGAGGATAGAAACAGCATCTTCCTTTCCAGTCCTGGAGGACTTGCTGAGCTGATACAGGTAGAAGATACCTCGGCGTTAGCATCACCCAATAAGTGTCAACAAGACAGGCAGGCAGGGAAGGCCGGTGTGCTCACACCATGTAACAGCAGAGGCCCACACCGCAGCCAGAAAGGTGGACGCCGGCCCATGGTGATTGTGAGAGGGAGGGGTGGCTGGGAGCTGTAGGCCCTGTGTCAGAGAGACTGCTCCCAGGAGTCACCAAGGTGGTCACCCTAGGTGGTCAACAGAAGCATTTTGGACACAAGCTGGAGTGGGGCTGGGCAGAGGCAAGGCAGCGTGCGGTGCCTGGTGGGCTCCTGGGATGTGTTGGGTGTGCTGCCCGGGGCCCCCCAGTGACCCACAGCAAACCAAGTCACAGCCACTGAGTCCATTCTGGCTCCCAGGGACCCTAGAAAGACTCCCAGGCTTGTAAAATGTTTTGGGAGCAGGCAGCCTCGTCTTTCTCTCAACAGAGTGGCTGGTGGGTTTGAACCACCAGCCTCGTGGACAGCTGCCCAACAATAGGTAGGTCCAATCATTCCCACTTTACAGATAGGAATTTGAGGCTCAGAAAGGTTAAATGCCTTGTCCAAGTCACACAGCAAGAAAGTTACGGAACTAGAATGAAACCCCAGGACCTTCTCTCCCTTCCCACAGCCTCCACACTGCCCCCACTCCCATAAGACCAGGTTTGGGGTCAGGACTGACAACCCGAAGCAGAGCAGGACTGGATTAGTGCAGTGTTCATAACCTTAGAGCGTGTAGGGCCCCGGGCTCTGCTCTGAAGGTGGCCATGGCAGAAGGGAGAACAGGGAAGTTGACCCAGAATCCTCTGGGAAGGGTTATAATGGGGACTCAGAGAGGGAGGCATCCACTTCAGACTAAGGAGCCCTTCCTGGAGGAAGTGATGCCTATAGGAAACCCTTAAAGATTCACAGGAGTTTGCCAACGCAAAGGTTGCCGGGGGAGGGGGTGGTGGATGGTGGATGGTGTTCTAGGCTGTCAAAGCAGCATAAGCCACCCGTGGTGTGTGTGTGTGTGTGTGTGTGTGTGTGTGTGTGTGTGTGTGTGTGTGTGTGTGTGTGATGTAGAGTACCCACAAGCCTGTGTGCCTGAGGTGTGAGGAAGCTGCCCCCCTGGATTGGTGGCCGTCAGGTTACTGGAGAGCACAGAGCAGATAGAGTGGAGGCCTCCTGCCCCAGGTGAGGCGAGAACTTCTTCTGCCCCACCCGCTCCTGCATCCTGAAGAAACACATCCATCGCAAATCCCCAGCATAATTCTGAGGCGTGGGAACTCTCACCCCCACCTTAGAGATAAAGAAACGGAGACCATGACCCGCCCACGGTCTCAGTGCTGATCAGTGGGCCAGTCCGGATGGAAATCAGGACCTGGCTGGAATCTCAGCCAGCCCTTTCCTCTCTGCTGGGGTCGTTCCCACCAGGCAAGGTGAAGGCGGGCAGAAGGCCTGGGGAGCAACTCGCCATGTCCTGTCAGGACTTGCAGTGGCCGGCGTGCCCCAGGCTCATGCAGCCGGCCGCAGTGCACAGAGCATACCCACCCACTCCTTGCATCTGTACCTTGCCAAGCAGCCAGTGTGGTTGAGCCCATTATACAAACGCGTAAGCTGAGGCTCTGAGAAAACTCTCCGCCCAGTCACTGGCCAGCAAGTGGTGAAGCCTGGCCTTGAGCGCCCACCCAATGCCAGCTCTGCTGGCTCAGCCTCCCACGGCTCAGTGGCTGGGTCTGGGAAGTGGAGGGAGATGGAGGGAGAGGATGGGGGGCTTGCGGAAAGGAGGGAACCCTGCAGGTGCCCCCCCCCAACTCCTCCCACCCCCACAGTTAGCATGCAGACAAAGGCAGTACGGTAATTGGGAGCGAGTATTTCATGGCATCCCCCCCGATGTTTTATTGGGTGGAGAGATGCTCAGAGACCAGACGGATGGCGCATTCCCTGTATAAAGTGCACGCGGTTTGTTTTATTTCCCGAGTTTTTGCAATCTAGATAACAGATGACGCCCCCAGTGGCTGGCGCTGCCTCTGTAATGGCGGCGCAGAGCCTTTGGAGAAGTATTAATAATAGATTGTGTTGATGAGTTTGGAGAAAGTAGCAATCGACCCCCTGCTGCCAAGACATTAGCGCGGCTCTTCCGATCACAGCCCGCCATGCACGGTAGTGGGGACTGCTCAAATGCAGGTCACCCACTCTGCCGCCCGCCCCCTCCTACCGAGAGGGCCTCCAAGCTGGATGTAATGGCTCTGGAGCCTGGGCCCCACCCGCCTGCACAGAGGCACGCCAGCCCCTGTCCACTCCTGGGCCACAGAGACTACAGGCTCAATGGGGCTCCTAGATAGGGAGGGAGAGTGTGGAGAGGAAACAGAGGG